TTCTCTTCTCTCCGTAAGAAAGAGCTATTTGTCAAGTTAAACGTCTAGGAAAGCATTTTAAATTAAGTTTTTTCTTTATCAGTTATCTGAACATTTGATTATCTGAAATTAACATAGAGTTGACAAAGGAGTGGATCTTCCTTCTCCATTTCTACTGATGTTCATGAGTGGATATTAAAAATTTACATAATTCTTTATGGCTGGTGCCACCAATAATGCCAGAATCACCTGATTCAATTCAGCTGATCTGGAGTCTCCGGAGAGAGCACTAGTATTTCCTTAAAAGTACCTAGAGGCTTGAATATTCTGCTGTGAAAATTAAAATTATGGTTCTCAAAGCGAATTAAGGCTATTACAACTTTCTCAATAGTAGTACTATAGATTTCAGAATATGACTCTACCAAGGATAGTAAATCTAGCCCTCTACCATGCACAAAAAAAAGGGGGGGTGTATATACAAAACAGACAAAAAGCCAACATAAGAAAAATTACTGAACTAGTCAATATATATGCTCTTTTAAAACAATAAATTTTTAGTGATTACAAACTTACAAAAATATTTTATTGCTCTACCATGACTTGTAAAGAACAAGTAAAAGTACCAATGTTAATTATTTTTCCATGAACCTATTCCTGGACTTAGAAATGCAAGCCAAAAAAAAAAAAAAGACTTATCCATAAGGCTTATACATAGAGAAAAACTCCATGAGCTAAGAGTATAATTAGAGGCACACATATAACTAGAGAAACCCCAAATTCACAAAGACTAACAGTAAATAAAAAGTGATAAAACCATTCATCAGTAGAGTATCTTTGATGAAAAATGTCACGTAAAATACAAAACCATTTCTAAACTCACTCTACATGACAGATGTTGCAAAAATTAAAAGGGTACTATACTAAGTTACAGAGACATAAAACATAGAATGTCAAAGAAATGTGAGGCACTATGGTGAGATTACAAACTTTGGTTAGCCAAAAATTAGCACGTGTCATTCCATGTAATGTGAGACATTTAAAAAATGTTTACACGCTTACTTACAGATGTTAAAACAGGGCCAGGAATACCATACTACTTACTAAATAGTGATCTCTGTTTCTACTTATTCTATCCATTATCCACTTAGCCTTTACAGGTGACCTCCAAATCTATCATTCCTCATAAAGATGCTTTTTAGAAAATACTTAACCAGAGGTAATACCCTAACCAAACTACATGAACCTGGAGCCTTTTCTCAGTCGTTATTACTCACTGTTCTGAAGCAGCAGTCATTGACCTTTCATTCTTGAAATCAACCAATTCTAGTCTACAGTCTTTTTCAGTGTCAAATCATTTCATTCTTTTTTCCTAAGGATGAGGCATTCCTCAAGACTCTGACCTTGGATATATTTTCTTCTTTTTCTTTGTTGGCTCTCATCCTCCTACCTAACTTCAAATATTATCTCAGGATATTGGTGGGTAATTCTCAGGTATCAAGCTCAAATCCTTTCTTGAGAGTTAAAATTACCGTTATACATTTTTTACCCGGTTCTGGTCAGTCAGCAAATCGTTACTGCCAGCTCCACGTGTGACACGCTAGTGTTAGAAATGTGTTCCAAGGCCTCGCATGAGAATCCTTGCCATCAGGAAGAAGAGGAGCTAAAGGAAGAGCTGAGCAGCCCATCAGGTGCCAACGGACCGTTCGTGTGTCCTCTTCCAATGGACTGAACATCTACTTGATAGAGCCCACCTTCTCAGTGTTCCCATGTAACAACGTGGGACTCCTCTCTTAGCTCTATTCTTCATGTGCCACATTCTACTCCTGCTGCCACAGCCTGGTTCAGGCTAGTACGTATTTTCACCCAACTGCAATCGCCTTCTTAACCATTCTCTAGTTTCTCATCCAATCCATCCTGCACTCAATTAACAAATTAATTTTCCTAAACCACAGATGTGTTCCAATACTTAACTGCATAACATGTTTAACGGTCCCTCAAAGGACTAATTAAGTCCAAAAACAACTTCAGCTTGACATTAGAGGCCTTCATTATCTGTTCCTTACCTGTTAATACTTTTTCATCTCTGTCACCCACTATTTCCTTACCTTTTGCTGTAGCCAAACATGATTATTTAATCATATCCTGAAACTGTCTGAATGTTCCTACTGCTTTATCTTCATTTACGTCATTTCTCTCCCTCCACTCCCATCCTGATTAACAGTCTCCATTTCTACCTTTCAGAAGCTTAACCAAATACTGGTTCAAATAACATCATTTTTCTAAAAACTTCTCTCCATCGTCGGAAAGTATAAATTATATTAAGGTCTTCTGTATCACTCATACTTTATTTCTATTACAGTTACCTGTGTATGTATCATATTGTTCCTTAAGAGTATAAGAAACTTTAAAAATGTTTTATTAATCTTTATCCTCCTGTAGTATATTACATGTGGTTGATATTCAAATATGAAGTATACATTGAATTTTAATATATACATAAAATAACAGCCAAGATCCATAAGACCACATAAGAAGTTTCCTTCAGTTTGTTATGGAGAAAATCATTGCCACAAGGTTTTTTTTTTAAACCACCTATATATTTCCTGAAAAGACATTAATAAGTGATTTTTTTGCCCTACCAGTAACCAGTATACCCCTTATCTATGTATGAACTGCTACAATAACTTCCTTGGCTTAGAATATAAAGTTGCTTCCCAAGCTTTCAGTTTTACATTATTGTATGTACTACTGATCACAAACTAAACCGCCATACCACTGAAGACAGCAATGTAGAGGGAAATAGCTTGCCTGGTGGCTCCTCCAAAACCCATACCTCTTAAGACAGCTCAACTTTTTTTTTTTTTGAGAAAGAGAAAAGAGCAATCATAGTGTAATTATACTTCTCTGTTCCCACTTCCTTCACACCTCCATTACCTTCCTAACATCTACCAAGTCAAACTTTGTTCAGAGTCCATACTTACAGATTCACAAGTTCACAATAATAGATGGGTTTCCAGTTCAACAGTTAATTCAAAGATTTACTGAATACCTACTATGTGGAAAGCACTGTGGAGGACCCAAAAATTAATAAGACACAATTTTCATCTTCTGGAACACATGACTAAATGCACAACACACACACATAAACAACTCCATTATAAAACTGATTATGTAAGAGCTAAAAAGCTTCCAACAAGGTACAAACAGAATGATATGAGAAGACAGTAATTTAGTCAGAGTATACCTGAGAAGCTTCAAATGAGGAATGGATTTATTTTAACTTTCTTTGAAATCAAGTAATAACATTCAATATTTCAAGATTATTTTTAATTAAAGTAGTATTTTTCAGTAGTATTGCAATAGAATTTAATTTTTTTTCCACTCAAATGGTACTGATTCAACATGCAAGTTAAAATTTTAAACAGATTTTTATTAGCTCAGCTTGAAACATGGTGAAATATAGTTTATAGGCCAAACTTGTGGCCTATAATTAACAAGAAAAATTTTGTTATGTTCAAGGGGAAGACAAACTATGTCTCCAATAATCTGAACTAATATTCTACTCCCAGAGAAAGGCTAAGTACATACAAATGAACCACCCAATTTTTACAGAAATCTGTTCAGCATACCAGTAGGACATTAAAAAGGAAAAAATTGAACAAGTGAAAATAAAATTCTGGGTCTTAGATTCATTTTTCATTCATACCACCTTCTCTTGTAACAATGACCTCTTCCTGATATACAGCCAAAGGTCTGAATCAGAGCCTGGAGCATTTGCTTTTCAAGTAAGCTCCATCCACACCATTTCTAGATTTAGACACTTCTTTGAAGATTCTGAGTTGCCATGACCTAACTCTGGACGTGCTGAGTACTGCATTGACAAATGAAAGGACCACACTCATCTGAAGCTTAAAATAACTTGCGGGGAAGGGATGGGAAAAGTCCGAGTTGACATACGCCAATGTTAGCAAATTTTAAAAAGAGGAAACCATAATAGACAGGAGTGGAAACAAACTGGGGAACTTGGAGAAGCATGGCATTCCAAATTGCTAGCATTAAAAAAAAAACTTTGGTCTTTTAATTACATTACAGTATCCATGAGACGTTTTTGCAATTACCGAACTTCAAAATTAAGTATACTGTGAAAAAAAAATAGGATAATTACATGCACTTTTATAAAAGATACTTGCTTTTAAATATCCAAAACTCTTGACATTAACAGAAAAATAACTAAAATCAGATTATGTAGATTTCGGCAAAGAAAACCGGAAGAATAACTAACATGTAAGTTCGGTAACATGTTACAGGGTGCAGTTTCCCACTACAGTAGACAGGCGAAGGAACCAAGAAAACGGGTTGAGCACAGGAATACTGCTACATTATAGCCACTCAACCCTAATTCAACAGCTAGCAGGCTCTATCCATCCTTCCTCACGTTCCTCGTGGCCTCTGACAAGTCATCCTTTCAACCTATGAGACTGTCCGCTCTCCCCCAACAAATATAATTCCCGTGCAGGTTGTAAAATCTCCCCCACAAACTACATGCTCACACCTCCTCGCCTTGGGATGAGCAGTCCCCACAGTGGGGAAAGGTCGCCCTGGCAGGGAAGTTGGGTGAAGTGGTCTTTCTGGCGGTTCGACCCGAGCGTCCAGCCCAGCAGCCGCCGGGGAAAGGAAACGCGAAGGGGCAGCGGATGCGAGCCCGCGAGGCAGGCTCCGTGGTGCCCGAGCACCGGCTCGGGCAGGAAGAATGGAGGAGGGGAGGCTAGGCAGCGAGGTGCCCGAGAGCCGGGCGGCGGTCCGGCCCCGCGGCCCGACCCCACCCCGCACTCGGCACCCTCCCAGTTCGCGGACCCGGCGTGCGTTCCGCGTGCGCCGACTCTCCCCGGAGGAAGAGCCACTGCCTCACACCCGTGGAAATGAGAAATCCAGCAACTTTGCGCGAGAAATGCTTCCCACCCTGCAACACACCGAGAAAGAGAAATATGTCAGGCGATGACGGGGGAGGAAGGATGACTTACCCATGTTCCTCCCAGAGGGTGAGGAGCCGGCAGGGCGAGGCGAAGGTCTCCGGTGCGGGCGGCGCGGCGCTGTGTCCTCCGTCTACCTCGGTCTCTCCCGCAGCCAGGGAGGGACCCGCGGGGGGCGGCCGCCGGGGAGGAGCAGCTACCGCTGCTGCTGCTGCAGACGGCGCGGCCGCGGCGGGGACGAGCGGCGGGGGGCGGGGCGGGGTGGGGCGGGGCGGGCGCGGCGGGCGCAGCCTGCGGCGGGCGCGGCTCCGAGCGAGCGGGCGGGCGGGCGGCGGAGGCGCCGGGCCCAGCCGGAGGAGCGCCCGCCCCGACGCGCCGTCCGAGAGCGCCCCGCCCTCCCCACCGAGCATGCTCGGTGCGTCCTTTCCCCCGCCTCCAGCCGCCCGGGGCCAGTGAATCCGAGCGTGCGGGTGGGCGTGTGTTTGCGGGCCGGCTGCAGCTGCGGCGGCGGCTTGATGGCGGCCGCCCGAGGGGCCAAGGGTGAGCCTTCAGAGGCTGGGCGCCGAGACGCTGAGCCCGGGCTACTACACCTGGCTCTCTACTATGACCCCCGCCAACCCACACCCGGAAAACCGGCCCGTGCTCATTTCGGGGCAGTCTAGGTGCACTGGCGGGAATTTCCCGAAGGAGGAGACGCTGGTCCTTCTTAAACCCGGAGGGTGGTCGGGAAGCAAAGCGGACGTCCTGGCCATGACGCCAGCGACTCTGGAGACAGATACCTGAGAATGCCCGTTTTCAGAGCAGCCTGTGGGCCCGCTGGGCACAGAGCAAGGCGGCGGCCGCTGGGAGGGCGCTCAGCATTAGGACTGTCTTGTCTGTGGCCAGTTTAAAAAAAAAAAAAAAAAGGTTCGGCAAACGAGAGGAGTGACCGTCCCGGGATTTCTTCAGAAAAGTGTTCTCCTTCCAGAGGAGTGCGGCCTTCCGTTCCCCAGAGGGGAACTGAAAAGCTATGTAACTAGGGTGCCCTGGCCGTGGGCGCCACCCTGCCGGGATGTGCTCGGCTCCCTTTGATCGCGGCAGGCACAAGGTTGCCAAAGTGGAAAATTAAAAAGTCCGCAGAGTTGCCTGCGACCCCTCAGGGTACATCGGTCGGAGTTTCCTGGGTCCGCGAGGCCGCCGCCTGCTCCCCACACCTCCCCAAAAGCGGGGAAAACCTGAGCCTCGCGGTCCCTAGTGAGGGCGCCCTCCCAACTGGGCATGCGCGCGGCGCGGAGGCTGGTCTTCGCTCCTCTGCCCTGGGAGAGGAGGCTGGGGGGAAACCTATTTCGCTGCTCTGGTCGTTCCCTGACCCCGCTTTGGTGGTTGGGTTGAGGAACCTGGTCTCTCTCCCGAGGCAGCAGCGACTGTAGTCCTGCAAGGGAAAGGGCGCAGTCAGCAGCACAACCTAAGAGAGGAGATGATGAATAGCTAAATGGAAATTCCTTTCTTTTTCAACTTTTACTCTTTATATTCACTGTTGAGAAAAAGCCCCCGCTTCACACGTGGCCCCTTTAAAATCAGCTCAGTTTCTATTTGTACAACTGATACCACACAAGTCAAAATAGGTCTTGTAACTTGTTCAGTCGCTAAGTCGTGTCCGACTCTTTGCAACACCAGGGACCATAGGGCGCCAGGCTCCTCTGTCCATGAGATTTCCCAGGCAAGAATACTGGAGTGGATTGCCGTTTCCTTATCTAGGGGATCTTCGAGACCCAGGAGTAGAACCCCCATCTCCTGGGGTGGTGGATTCTTTACCAGAGTCGCCAGGGAAGCCCTTGTAACTTGTTGAGCAGAGGTCAAATTTTCTAAAACAAAAACGAAACATAAGTAAAAAGAAAGAGGTTTGGTAAAACAAGAAAATACAATGTAACTACAGAAGTCACAACTATTAGACTTTTCTGGCTGCTTTTTTTTTTTTTCCAGGCTTGGTCACCTCTGCCTCTCAGCCCTAATTCCGGGTGAGGGGAACATGTAAAATTAGTTTCATTTCTCTCGGTTGTGATGGTCCTTCAGCTGTTGATGCGAAGAAGCACTAACAAAAGCTGTTACTTATTGAGTGCTTAAAGGACTTCAAATAAGTAAAAGCAATAATATTGAATAACAAAAGCGCGTAACATTTACCGAGTGCTTCCCAGGTGTCAGGCACTGTTCTAAGCGCTACTGACGGGGTGCAGGAAAGACTTCCCTTTAAATATGCTACTATGGCGTATTTATTATTTGAAATTATGGTTGAGAAACATCCAGTGCAAAAAGACCACTGTGATCATTTGTTCCCCTGAAAGCATGAAGTAAATTTCCCATATGAGACGTCCTCTATATATCAGAAGGACCAGTCAATCCTAAAGGAAATCAATCCTGAATATTTGTTGGAAGGACATTGATGCTGAAGTTGAAGCTCCAGTACTTGGCCACCTAATGTGGAGAGTCGACTCGCTGGAAAAGACCTTGATACTGGGAAAGACTGAAGGCAAAAGAAGAGGACAGCAGAGGACGAAGTGGTTAGATAGCATCACCGACTCAATTAACATGAATTTGAGCAAACTCAAGGAGATAGTGAAGGACAAGGTAGCCTGGAGTGCTGCAGTCCGGTCGCAAAGAATGGAACACAACTTGAGTGAACAACAATCAGGAGTATAGATGGCATCCTTGTTGCCAGAGGTAGATAATTCAAGGTCAAGAACCCTTGCTATCCCAAGTCTGAGTCCCTATTTTCTCAGAAAGAAGTCTTTCTCTGAAAGGTATATAAAAGCTGCCTGCTTTGGCAAAAAAAAAAAAAACCAGAAACAAACTTTTCTGATGCCCGAGATGGTCAGGCACTTCACTCCTTGTACACTACTTCCCTTTCTGTGATATAAAAATGCTCTTGCTGGTTACCTCAAAATAGTCTTACAGGCTTGAATTAGTTTCCTAAGTACCACAAGCTTCTTGCCTTAGAACAAGAGGAATGTATTTTCATACAGTTCTAGGGGCCAGAAGTCTGAAATCAAAGTGTTGGCAGGGCCATGCTTACTGTGAAGGCACTGGAGAAAGTTTTCTTCCAGACCTCCCCTAGCCTCTGGTGGTTTCTTGGCTTGTGCTCATGTATCTCCATCCTTCACATGCCATGTCTCTTGAGATTTTTCTTTTTTATGAGCACTCCAGTCATTTTTGATTAGAGGCCCAACTACTCTAATCTGACCTCATCTTTAATTATACCTGCAGTGACACTATTTCCAAATAAGGTCACATTCTGATATACTGAGGGCTAGGACTTCAACATATAAATTTGCAGGGAACATGATTCAATCCATAACACACCAATGCAAGCTACACACACACACACCCTACCGTGTTCCACTTTCATTTTGGACCTTTCCAGAAGACCACCCTGGGGCCTTTGTGTTGCTGCTCCTCATTCTTTGCCCCTATCTCTTTCTTTAACCTACATTAATCTCTTCCAGATTCTCAAGTTCACTTGCTTTGCTTTTCCATGCTACTTCCATTTGTAGTTATATATTACAGTAATTTCTAAGAGCATCTTCCATCTTTTGTTTGGATGCATAGATTGAAACTAGCAAAAGCAGCTGAAGCAGTTTTGTGATCACCCACCCGACACTAGTTTAAGTGCCTCCTTTGTTCTGCTTGAATCCAAAAACCATCCCCTCAGCACCCCACCAGTTAAAGCCGTTGGGCTGTCCCTGCGTATTGCATACAGTGAGGCCCAATGCATTGCTGTGTAACATCTGTTGCTGTTGAGTCATGTCTGACTCTTTGCGACCCCATGGATGGCAGCGCACCAGACTCCTCTCTCCATGGAATTTTTCGGGTCAAGAATACTGGAGCAAGTTGCCATTACTTTCTCCAGGGGATCTTCCCAACCCAGGGATTGAACTTGCATCTCCTGCAAATCTTCTGCATTGCAGGCAGGTTCTTTACCACTGAGCCACAGGGGAAGCCCCCGTGAGACCCAATACTGACTGCTACATGCAGATATGGACTGGTATAACACCTGCCTCTTTCACACTCACACTAGCTCCCCTCCCCTTCCTTATCTTCTCCTCTCATATGAAAGTAACATTTTTCTCATGTCTTCACTTTCTTTATCATTTTATTCAAATGTTATCTACATGAGGCCTTCCCTAGCCATTTCATCTAAACTTTCAATACTAGCTCCACTTCCATATTTTTTCCTATCCACCTACCACTAAAATAATATATATTTTGTTTATGAGCTGTCACTCCCATTTAAATTTAAGCTCCCCAAGGACAGGGATTTTTGTCTGTCCTATTTGCCATTATATCCTCAGTGCCAGAATGATGCTAGCATACAGAAAGTGCTCAATAAAAATCTGTATTATAAATGAAAGTCTTTTCATGCTCTCAGAGCTTTTGTCTTAAAGTTGAGTAAGAATGGTATTATTATTATTTTTATAAACTCCAGCACTTGACCAAGTAAAATAAGTTATTCAATAAATATTGATGATAATGATGATGACAGCTGCTATCTGTGTTGCTTCTTTCTTAAAGTATGAGTCTTCTAAATGGTAGAGACTAGTTTTTGTGCTAATTCATTCACTCATTCAGTTAATAGAGACACTGAATGCCAACTATGTATCAGGCACTATAATAGGCATTAGGGATAAAAAATAAACTATGGTCCCTGCTTTCAAAAAACTTATATATTAGAAAAATTGCTTTGATGAAGCTTCCAGTCATTAATCCCATAAATATTATTCTGATGTCAAAATAGTTTTCCAGAATAAATCTACTAGTTCTCATGTTCCAGGTAAAGCAATGCTCAGGATTTGATTATGCCTGCTACAAAATAAAGGAAGAAATTCTATCTAGAAATGTCTATATATTCATGAAGTGTCACAGATTTATTTGGGTAGCCAATTATTATTGGGATGGGGGCAGGTGAGAAGAAGTATCAAGAAAAATGTTTATTAGAAAGGGTCAGAGCACTGTATTTTGACAGGGTTTATAACAAAACTTACCTTATTGATGCATGTAAACTTCAAGAGGTTAGAAGTTGAT